TCACCACTGTCAGGACTCATAGCAGAGATTGTAATGCAATGCCTAGAAACTATAGCACTGCCACACATATAAACTAAAGTATGGATCTGGTATGTAGATGACACCTACCAAGTCAGGCCATGGCTATCAAAAACATCTGCCAGGCTATCCCGCCTCCTTTACATGGACAATCTGAAGCTGTATGGAAAAACATAATCTGAAATAGAATTGCTACTCAACTCTGTCCGAATATACAACCAGGTTATTGCAATGGAGTTTGGACTGGACAAATATGCCACCCTTACCATCAACAGGGAGAAAATAGTGAAAACTGAAGGAATCAAGATGCCCTATGGAAATAACATCAAGGGTCTGGATGAAGAAGATTACTACAAACACCTGGGCATCCTTCAAGCTGACAACATCAAGCCCACTGAAGTTAAGAAGGTTACTAGTGAATACATCATGAAAGTGAAGAAGATCTTAAAGTCCAAACTCAGTGGAGGAAATACCGTCAAGGCAATTAATACCTGGGCAATTCCAGTCATTAGATACACAGCTGGAATAGTGGGTTGGACTCAAGCAGAAGTAGAAGCCCTGGGTAGGAAGACCAGAAAAATAATGACAATGAATCATGCCCTTCATTCACACACACAACGATGCTGACAGACTCTGCTTACCAAGGAGCATAGGTGGGCGTGGAATGCTGCAAGTACAACAGAGAGATGAAGAAGAAAAAAGGGCATTAGAAGATATCTGAAGGACAGTGAAGAAGATGCACTGGAGCTAGTACACCATGAAGGCTTACTGAATACTGAAGATACCAAACTGGCCTTCAAGAAAGACCAAATGAAGAATATAAAATAGACCTGGCAAGGCAAAGTATTACATGGCCGGTACACAAAAAAACTAGCAGGCAAAGCAGATAACAACAAGCTAAGAGCAGGAAAATTGAAGAAAGAGACAGAAGGACTAATACTGGCTGCACAAGACCAAGCCTTAAGAACAAATGCATGCAAAGCCAGAAGCAAATGCCGCCTGCAAATGCAAAGAAGCTGAAGAAACAGTGGACTACCTAGTTAGCTGCTGCAAGAAGATTGCACAGACTGACTACAAATAACGGCATGACAAAGTAGCAACAATGGTGCATTGGATATCTGCAAAAAATACCATTTGCCTGCAAGCAAGAATCGGTGGGACCACAAAACAGACAAAGTAATAGAAAATGAAGAAGCTAAAGTGTTTTAGAATTCAAACAGACAAGCACCTGCCACACAACACCCCAGACTTAACAATTGTTGATAAGACAGACAAAAAAGTCTGGATAGTGGACATTACAATACCTGGAGACAGCAGAATAGAAGAGAAAGAACTGAAGAAAATCACAAAATACAAAGACCTGCAAATAGAAATAGAATGACTCTGGCAAAAGAAAGCAAATACAAAGACCTGCAAATAGAAATAGAATGACTCTGGCAAAAGAAAGCAAAGATAGTACCAATAGTAATAGGCACCTCCCAAAACATCTGGAGCACCACTTGAAGACCATTGACATTGACAAAATCACCATCAGTCAGTTGCAAAAGCCAGCTTTATTTGGAACAGTCTACATCCTGTGAAGATACCTTTAATATTATTAAACAACATCTGCCTATCCCAAGTCCTTGGGAAAGACTCAATAAGTGGGAAAAAATGCCAAATCCAGTCTAAGCGTCTGGCTGACTCTGCAACCAATTATTATTTTTATTTATTTACTTACTTAATATGTGCCTTTAAAAAAACTCTAGTACTTATAAAATTCCACCCAATAATATTAGGTCACAATTTAATAACCAACCTAATAAAATCAATATTTATAACTAAAATCAAATGCAACCACCATATATTTTTAAAGAATGCCCTAAAGTAATGGAGAGCATGCATGTATACATAATTTTAAAAAATATAACCTGAAAACTTCCAGTCTTAGTAAGTGTAGGATAAAATCACCATGATCATACTAAGTCTCTAAATTATCTCACCCCCTTTTAAAGTCATCAAGCTTTCACAGAGGTAAAGGAAAGAGGGAACTGATAGCAGTGTTACAGGACCAGATCCATGAAAGCTCAGAAATCAGATAGTAAGACCCTGTGTTCCAAATGAGGAACAGAAAGAAAACCCTGCCTAGGGAACATAAAGAATAAGCAGGGATGTAGGAAGAAATAAGTTGGGACAGAAAGTGGAAGGTTGTGACCAAAGAACTCTGAACACAAGCACCAGTAGTTTGAATTGGACTCTGGCTTGAATAGGGAACCAGTGAATAGCTGTGTGGTATAACAAAACAGGATTATAAGAGGAGACCCATGTTAGTGTAGTGGCAAAAAAATCGGAAGCAGTCTTGGCACATGGCTGTAATAAAATACAGGTAATCCTCGCTTACCAACCATTTGTTCAAAGACTGTTTGAAGTTATGACAGTGCTGAAAAAAATAACTTTACAGCCCATTTACGGCCATTTACAATCCTTGCAGCATCCCTCAGTCACGTGATTACCATTACAGTCAGTACGCATTGTCCTGTCCTGATCTGTGTTTTTTTTCTTTCCCCCCCTTGCAGAGCAGAGAGATTGGAGAGAAAGAGATTGCAAGAAAGTAAGCTGTTTGCTCTTCTACACATTGAAAGCAATAAAATCACACCTGTGGCCTGGGGCTGGGAGTCGTGGACACACTACACAAACAGCTTACAGTACTCTCTTGAAATCTCTTTCTCTCCAATCTCTCTGCTCTGCAACAGGGGAGAGAAAAAAAGCAAGCAATTTCTGTAGGCAATCTCTCCTTCGCCTGACCGTCTCCCGCTGCCAACATGATCGCAATTGCTCTCAATGTGTAGAAGAGCAAACAGCTTACTCTTTTTCTTTCCAATCTCTTCTCTGGTGAATGAATGGGGGAGGGGGAGGAAAAAAGCAAGCAGTTTCTATAGGCAATCTCCTCTTAGCCTGACCCTCCCCCTCCCTTGGAGTTTGGAGAGGAAGGGATTTCAAGAGTAAGCTGTTAAATGCTGAGGGTTTGCCTGAATGTTAGCTTTTATTGCCCCCAAAAATGAGTCTGTGGTAGATAAGACCATTCAACATCTCTAGTTTTTGGAGGTGGCCACTGAAATATTTTTAATGAATTTGTGAGGATAGTAATGGCAGCTTCCTCTCTTAATTTTTAAAAAGTGTTATCTGTAATACTGATGCAATGACTAGAATTAAAATCTGGGCAATATGTTTGCTGTTCCCCCTCCATCAAAAAATAATTGTAGTATCTCAGTGCAATTTTTCTAGAAGTATTAGAGGAGGCATAATCAAAACTATATCAGAGGTACCATTTTTAAATATGAAAAAGAGAAAAATGTATTAGAATAAGTGCCATTGTTCTCTGATCATCAGTGGAACTATTTTTCATACACTGAAAGCCATCCCACCCCCACTATTATCCCCACCCCTTTTGGGATATCTTTTTAACTACTAGTGGATTGTTAAATCTGCAGAACTTTGCAGTATGCTCATAATGAGTGGTGTTTTTTTTTAATTAAATCCTTTTAGTCTATTTTATGGTTTTAAATTTTTGCAAAATTGTTGACTTGTACTTTAATTTCCTCTCTCACTCTTTTTTTAACAGTGGCTATATGTCCAACCAAACGCAGAATATTGTCAGTGGGATTCTGTTTGGGACAGGGCTGTGGGTAACTCTTATTTTCTCAATGCGTTACTCGCTGAAGATGCTGCTTTCGTACCATGGTTGGATTTTTGCAGAGCATGGAAAACTTTCTACAGGAACCAAGATATGGATGGTAAGGTAATTTTGCCATATATTTGAAAGTGACATTGATGTCATCTTACCTCACTATAGCCACTGTTTGTAGAGTTGTTTTCAGAATGGCTACATTTGGTTAAAACAATTGTTTATTAGTTATTTATTAATTGGATTTATATGGCCACCCATTTCACCATAGCAAATTTATGTAGCTAACACCACATGAAAAGTGCACAACATTTAACATTTAATAGTTAAATATTCATCACAATAGTTTTTCCCAAGAAACAAAGTCATTTAGGACTGTAATATGTATTACTGATTAGCTGCTCTAAGTCAACTTCCATTGTAAAGCATGCTAGACGTGTAGGATTTAAACTTCCATCATATAGCATGGCCTTAAAAAAAAGCAGGATTATATACAGTTACCTCTTATGGTTCATACAGCCTGCCACTTGTGTTTATTGGTAGAATATTGACGGAATTTAGATAAAGGATAGTGACTAAAATGTTAAATACTTCTGTGAATAATAGAAACCAGTTGCATACTAAATGTTTGATAGTTTACTTCAGAGATAATTTCAAGAGCTTTCTCATTTGAATACAGGCTGTATCTGAAGGGTAAGGCCCAGAGCATTGTTTTGACACAGCTTAATGTTTTCATTGGCTGGGTATTTGGCATGGCCTACAGTTTATTGCTTTTAAATCTGTTTTTTTTTTTTTAATAATGCTAAGCTTGGGCAGTGTTAACTAATACATTCTGCTGTTTTGATTTTTACTCCTGTATATGAGCAGGAAATCATTTACCATTACTGAAATAGCAAGTGTATGGAGAAATTCAGATGATTATTGCTTTCTTCTGTTAGGACTAAAACCCTCACGTTTTTGAACAATATTAACATAACTGGATGGCTTGAACCTTCCTAAGTTTCATCAGTTGTTCTGGATTACCAGTGTTGAAGTCTTGCCCATTGAGAAGACACCAAGCTAAAGAAGTCTGTTTTACTTTAAATGTTAAATTGTATTGACCATTCAAGGTTTTTTCCTAATCCTTATTTCTCATTATTTTTGTAATTTAATTATTCATATTTTTTTCTTTTTTATAAAGAACCATGAGAGAGATCGTTATTGTAACATACTAATCTGTGTCCTTGGTATGAGGAATGCTATGTTCTGCAAAAGATCAGAAAATAGAATGTAATTATTTTTCTGATAGCTATGCTTTTAGGAGAGAACTTCACAATGCCATGTTAAAGAAAATTCCTACTAGGAAGCAAAAAAATCTCCCATTCAGGCAATGCCTATCATACTGAACCATTCTATGGATAAGTAAGGCAAGTAGGATAAATATTTCATGAGCCAGAACTGAAAGTGCTGTGAAATATTCTTGTACTTATGAATATTGTGTATATGAGAAGACATAAGCAAATACAGTGTAAACTTCTGTGCTAAAATGGAAAGATAAAACACCTTCTGAACGGCCTAAAAAGTTATTTAACATTATTCAGAATCATTCTCTGATCTTGATGTGACCCGCAGAGGGATCTGTCTGTTAGACATTTCATTCCACATGTGTCTGACGAGAATGTTGCTATACAAAGGCCTAGTCTACAACTGTCTTTAGTGATCTTGGTGCTGCTGCTCCTCTCCTTGTGTCGTGTCAATCCATCAGCACAAACCAAAATGGCCATGGAGGGAAGTCAGCAAAAACTGAAGAGATGGTAGCATGCCCACAGCAGCTGAAAGCAGCCAGTAGGAATTGGGCAGATCATCATGATTACCACCACAGTAATGCAGATCATGCCTATAGAAGTTCTTGTAAGGGAAGTAGGTGGAAAATGCTACTGTATCCTTTAGCAGTTGGACTACTAACATTTTTGTTGTGTAAAAGATTGAAAAGTCTTATTTATGTTGCACTGTCAGTGTGCATGCTGTGGAATTTTGCAGAGTTAATGAGGGTCCTCCTCCTGAAGCAGTAAAACAGGGAAAGAAAAATGCAGGCAAATATTAGATGTAATTAAAGTCCAGTTAGAATTGGGAATTGGGATTACTAACCAAAGGCAAAAAATACTTTTATTCAAGAGGGTAACAGTTTTAAATTAAAAAAAAAACTATAGATTTACAAAAACAACAGATACATATGCTATTCTGACCCTCATCTTCAGTAAAGGAAGTGCAAAGGCATATTGCACTTAGTTTGGAAATTTAACTTATTTATGGTGCTTCCTGTGTTGAAGCGTATAGAATCAGATTACAGTAAAAAGAACAATAAAATAAATAAAACAATATATTAGCATAATATAAAGCAACATTCTGAATGATGTTTTATATTAATGTATAAATGCTGTTTATTTATTAAAAGGATGATGAGAAGAAAAAAAAGTCTTCCAGCATTCCTTCTGGTGAAGACACTTTTTTCTGCTATTCTGTAGTCTGCAAAATTTTATCTTTTTCTGTTTTATTTTCAGGCACTTGTGAAACTTTTCTCTGGTTGTAAACCAATGCTGTATAGCTTTCAGACCTCCTTACCGCGTCTTCCTGTTCCAGCTGTTAAGGATACCGTAAATAGGGTAAGGTGGATCTTTGAAACTTTTCTCCCTAAACATTTAGATTGGGGTGAAATGTTAATTTTGATTTGCTTCATCTAAAGATTTGTATCAAGGAAAAAAACCTTTCCAAACTTAACATGATATTTTGTTAACCTGATTCCAGATACAAGTAGAGCTGTAATTATTACTTGATGTATTCACTGACCATGTTTTTTGTCTTGTTTTTATACTATTAAAGACCAGATGTCCAAAGTCTTTAAATTTCCAAGGGTGTGTTTAAAGAACAAAGCAAAAGCAACCGTTTTCCCCCCCAAACATCTAAAATATATTCCTCTAATAAGTGCAGTTTTCATTATGTAAAGATTACATGATAAAATGGGCCCAGGATATAGGAGGTGAGAGATCAGAC